CACCGGGTCCGGGACGCGAACCTCAGTCGACTACGTGGGAGTCCAGCGACATAGCCATTACGCTAACTGCTGGTTCCCCCCAAGACATATTTTTTTCTATGCAAAAATGCATCATGACTTTTTCAATGACCCAATGATAAAACAGAACATTTTTAACAATATACTCTAATAAATTTATGAATGTGGTCTCTCTCTCTCTCTTTCACACACAGACATGTAAAATGTCTTAGTGTCCTGTTTTCAGATGACTATCTCTGGCTGACGGCAGGTAACTGAAACCAGAGGAAGTGAAACTATGGGGGAGTATCGTACTTCTTTAAAAAATAAATAAAATAACTTTGAGTCTTGGTTAAGTTACAGTATTTTTAGTTTATGGGGCCAGTAGGTGGTGTGATGGTTAAGGGCTAAACTTCTACATGGCCAGCCGTGGTTCGAGTCCCAGACCTGGCAGTTTAGTTTCTCACTTTTTCTCTTTCTCTGTCCCTCTCTGGTCAAATTAAAATAAATAAATAAACAAAATAAATAAAGTTAAATAAAATAATTCTTAGAAGTATTTTTAGTTTGTATTATGTGTAAAATCAGGGAAAAACATGCATTACGGTAAGAAGAAATATTAGCCTTAGGCCCAAAGAGGCAGAAGGCCCTTCCCTGGCCCCACACTCGCTAACCAGCAGACATCAGCACCCTACACAAAACGGAGACTCATGAGCTGACATCCAGCCTCCTCTGTACCACAGCCTAGGCCTGAGCCAGGTGGTCTATCTCCCATGAGTTGGGTGCCATGGAGGTGGGGAAGAGGTACCTACCACAGGAGTCACAGGTGAAGCAGTCCGTGTGGTACAGGCTCCCCATGGCCTGGCATGCCTGTCTTGCTCCATAGATGCCAAGGCCACACTTGATGCAAATGCCTACAGGGGCACAGACAGGAGAAGGCAGAGGTGATTAGCACCATGGACCGTGGGGTCAGGCGGACATGCACCTGGCCCCAACTTGTTGCTGCCCACCCCCTGACCTTGGGCAAGCAAACTTCCCTAGAATACCAGTCGGTTATTACTAACACGGGGACCACAGGGTTGCCTGCTGCTGTTCTCTGAGGATGTGGACAGCGTAGCAGAGCACCTGGTACAGAGTGAAAGCTGACTAAAGCCATCAGCACCATCCTCATGATATACCTAGAAAGTCATTCTAAATCCACTCACTAAAGTTAAGAAACAGCAGCCTTCTTTCTTTCGACAATGAAGATGAAAACGAGTAAGGGTAAACATTTTGGGATTAGTCTTCAGAAGTAAATGGGATATTTTTTAAAATAACTTTTTCCTGAGTACAATGTTATTACATTTTCCCCCTGTTACAAAGATACTACAAGTCCACTGTAGGAAACTTAGAAAACACAGAAAATTTCATAAAGTAAAAACTGCACCCACCGGGACTAGCAGTTGGCGTGATAGCTATGTCACTGTACTCCCATGTGGTCTACTGAGGGTTCGAGTCCCGGACCTGGTGGCTTAAACTCATACCAGGCGCGTGTGCATGCGTGCCCAAGATCCTGAGAGGAGAATGGAGGAGAAGGGATTTTGGTGTGGCCATCTCCCCTGGGGGTGGGGGGGTGATTTCTCACTTTCTGTCTTTCTGTGAGTGCATGTGCCCTATAGCAAAAACCTCTCCAAAAATAAACAATAAAAAAAAAAAAAAACTGTGTCCACCAATTAACAAAAAAAAGTCACTACTCTAAATCCCTTCACCTGTGCCGATCTCTTGGCCCGAGGGAAAATTCTTCTTTTTTAAGGTGTTGTCATAGGGTGTGTGCACTTGCCAGAAAGAGAAGTGCCAGCACATGTACCCTAAGGTAAAAGTCCCCACAAAAAAAAAATAAATAAATAAAATTTAATTCTCAAAAATAAATAAAACTAAATAGGTTCTAAAAGCCTGAGGCTGTTGGCTGGCAAACAGCAGCGGAATTTAGGGAAGTGGGAGGAGAAAGTTCCAAAGACACCCATGAATGGCACAGAGTGACCCAGAGGTCAGCTGGTACCAGCAAATGGATGTGCCTCCTGGCAAATTAAAAAAAAGAGAGAGAGAGAGAGAGAGAGAGAAAGAAGGAGAAAAAGGAAAGGAAGGGGCTGGTTCCGTGGGATAGCTGTAATGCACTATTCAGGTGGCTCCCACGTACCAACCACAAGTCAAATTCCTAGTCATTCTTATTCTTTTTTTTTTTTTAGAGGTTTTTGCTATAGGGCGTGTGCACTCGCCAGACAGAGAGAGACAGAGAGACAGAAAACGAGAAATCACCCCCTAGGGCGGATGGCCACACCACAATCCCTTCTCCTCCATTCTCCTCTTGGGATCTTGGGCACACACGCACGCACACGCACCTGGCGTGAGTTTTAAGCCACCGGGTCCGGAACGTGAATCGCGGCCGTCTATGTGGGAGTCCAGCGACATAGCCATGACGCTAACTGCTGGTCCCCAAACTGCTGGTCCCCAAATTCCCAGTCATTCTGAAATACACCAAGCACAGGTGCAAGTGCCTACGATCCCATGGGCTGGAGGAAAAGCATCGCAGTGTGACCAGAAACTGTGGAGGTCACCCACCGATCTTTTTCTCTCTTCCTCACCTACATGCACACACATTCTATCATGAATAAAAACTAAAAAAAAAAAGGAAAAAGGAAAATAAAAATTTAAATAAGAGTAATATTTAAAAATTATTTGGGGGGGCCAGCAGGAGGTGTGGTGATTAAGGCACTGGACTCCCACATGGTTGACTA